CTCTCCGCGGGGCCCGGTCGCCCGGGGCCTGGCTGGGGCTCCTGCGTGGGGTTCGGGCGTCCCTGGGGCCTCGGATCCCTGGGGCCCAGGGCCGGATTCTTTCGGGGGTGGCTGGCTGCTGGCGGCATTGCGGTGGCAGGGGGACTTCCTTTGGGGCACCTCTTCGGCTCTCCACAACCACTATTGAGCATTTTTTCTATGGATAAACTTTACATGCATAAGTGCACTTTCACAATCAACTACAGATGCTTGGTTCCAGGTACTCAGAGATTTCCTCCATATACAAAGCCCACATTCTGATCTTCAGGTAACAGAGTACAGGTCAGATTAAATAATACTACTTCAGTGATAGTATCTAGGTGTTACTTTATTGTATATCTCGTACCTGGTCTGTTGGTTGTGCTGTTCAGGATGAAGTTGGGCGACTGACGAGTCGACATTCAGCCACTTTAAGCTCCTCTCACCACATACTTTCTCATCACCACATCATTTGCCTTTTTCTCAACACGCTTTTCTGAATTTTGTTTTTTGTTTTTTTGTAATTTTAGGTTAATTCCTCCATTTTACTAGTTTTTTCCTCTTTAAACTTTTAATTTCACCTTATTTTATGCTCTACTTATTTTGTTTTTGTAAATTATTTAAAAGTTTTTAGCTATGCGTTAATAATTTCCTGTAAGAGTTTAGAGTTTAGTTGATTTAAAATCACCAGTGAAATTAAAAATCATTATTATAACTTAGTATAGTGTAAGTTTAATATGTAATACAGTGTAAATATGTTTAGTATCAGGTTTAAACACTTCCTTTTGCCTTCTAATTTTAACCCGTTTCTCTCTGGAGCTGAGGTGATTTCTTGAAACTCTCCTCTTCATCCATCCATCATTTTAAACAGTTTTTTTCTCCTTTTTTGCCACCTCGAGGTCTTCCATAGTCTTTCAAATATGCAAGAAAAGCTTGATAACTTTCTTATTTACATTCATTTCTGCATCTTGCAATGAAGAAAATTCTTGTTTGGTCCAAACATGGTCCGACACAGTAGCAATAAAATATGCACAGGTTTTAGTCCCAAACCAAATTCTCTATTTCCACAGCAGCCACTCGGAGAGATTAGCTCCATCTCTGGTATGTTGCTTTGTCCCTGTGCCAGGAATGTCTGAAGAGTGTGTCATGTGTCATTTTAATCTGAATTTGATTTTTCTAAATGAAAAACTAAGAGAATTTGATTTCCCTTTCCTCCAAAAATATTAATACACATGTATATCACTTAAGACTTATGAACAATGAAATCAGCGATTTTCATCCCTTAAACGTTAAAAATAAATGTTACCCTACGGATTACCAAATATATGGGATGTAGTTTGGAAAAATGCAACTAAAATACATAAAAGCTATGAATTTATTAACTAAAATTATAGTTTTGCAGAAAATAAATAAGTAATTCCTGAGGATTTGACTCAAAATGGCATATTTTCCTGAGAGAGGGAAATACTATTAATAATAATTTTTGACACATTTAAAACAAGTATGTTTTAAAGACAATGAAACCTAAAACCTGCTTAATGGATTTAAATTTAGGAGGATAAAAAAAAAAAAAAAAAAAACATCCTAACTTTCAGAATTAGTACTGAAATAGCAGCTGAGATAAAGTTATAAATGGTTGGCTTACAGCAGAATAGTA